AGGACCCAAACCTAGCAATAGAATTTCTTGTTCAGCTTTTGTAGGTGTTTGCAAAATGGTGATTTTGAAGAAAGTGGAGAAACTGATACAAAGCATATTTTAGAAGTATTTAAAGCTTAGAATCCTGGAAGAAAAGCCATATAAATCAACTGAAATTTAGGTGGCTGTAATGGAAATGGTATAACATGGACATCTGTGCATTCATGGGAGCGCTACTACTGATCTGCTACTGAGAACCACAGATGAAGAGCTAGTGCCAAGGAGGAACATGGGGTTTCTTGCATGAGGTAATAGCAGCCAGACAGCAGGTTTGGAGATCACCCCTTTCGTCTAACTTCAGGTGACACTGTGTACCTAAGGTAGCTGAACAAATCAGTAGCCTTTACCTTCCACAGAGCTGTCAGTAGCAATGTGAAGTATCTAGTTCTAATTAAACTATTAATTCAGGCTGTTGAGTTAGATGGGTTAGATACTACAACTGCACCCTCAAGATATATGGCTTGATTATGCATAGGTTTAAATATAAAACCCATTATTAAAAATGTGTGCATTAAGTGTATAAAATGAGACAGGAGGCTTGGTTGAAATTTAATTGGTTTTCGCTAGCAATGTTTACCTTAGTTTTGGCTCAGCTGCAGTCATGAAGATACAAAACTTTCATGGCAACATTTTAAAAGTATTAAACACCAGCTAATAGGGAGGTCTCAGGATACAAGCATGCCCAGGGAAGTATGGTCAAGTGGGGGCATTTTCAGTGGCTTCTCTCTGGACAGGCTTCTTGGCTATGCATTATTGACCTCCTTGTGTTGTGATCTGTGTGCTCTTGGGGAGCATTTGAGGAGGGGGAGAAGAAGTGGCCAGTCATGGTGAGTCTTTGATATAATGCAATGCTGGAGCATGCAGCTTCCTTCCTCTCCTTGCCAGTCTGAATGCAAGGAACTGGGTCGAGTTTCTCAGCCTTTGTGCCGACTTCCCCGTGATGGCACATATCAGTATGTTTAATGAAACAATTATTTTTTCAGTCTTTCGTTCCAAAGAATCCTTTGAAAAGTGGAAATTTGTAATACTATAAAATACCTTTGCTGTTTGCAGCTGTGAGCTATAATAGATCAAACTATCAGTTTTTCATTGCAAGTCTTTAGTCCTGCTGCCAAGAACAACCTTATATATGGCTATAAATCTTACAGGAGTGCAATAAAGGTGAACTGCATTTCACTGTAATAAGGTATGTGTTACACGCAGGCAGAGAGCATTAGGAACTGTGTGTAATAGCCAGTGCTTCCCAGTATTCATGTCAGAACAGAGGATGTAGTACTGTGGGCTGCAGAAGTCATTGAGATGTATTGCAGGTTTCTAGCCCTGAGTACTCTGACTTTATCATAACACTGCTGCTCTGTTTCAGGAGTTTGTGGTATTCATTTTATAAACCTTATTCTGAGGTGCTTGCAGCTCTTCTGCTCTGCACATCAAAAGTCATTCTGAAGAAGGAAATTTCCTTATCTCTGTCGCTATTGCCTTATTTATTTATTTTCCTTTTTTTAACATTAGAAATAGTTCAATCAAAATGTAAGTATGACATTGTAAATTCTAACTCTTTTTCAAGTACTGGAATCATAGCAATTTTATGATGCATTTAGAGACCCAAAATGCAAATAGGTACCTAATGAGATTCACAAAGGAGCCTGCTTCTTATTGAAGGTAGTTTGAAATGTAACTTCATTGTTTCTCTGACTTTGGGAACTTAAATATCTTTTACAAAAAAAAAATGGCTCTAATTCATTTGGGCACTTTTGAAAATCTTATCCTAAAACTTTATTTTTTTCATGTGAAAATCAATGTCTGGTACTGAACTGAATAGATAAATATATCAGTGTCATGGATTTTATTTCAGAATCTTTCAGCTGCTTCCAAATTTGCGTGATTTAAAACTAAATACAGTTGAAATACTATCAGCATGCATAAGTTTTGTTCTCTCAGTATTTGTGAGCTTAAAGAACCCACGCTAATAGTTTTTATTTTATAAAGTTGGGAAAATGTTTGAAAAAGTACTCACTGGTTCTGGTATTCATGGTTGGGCAACAGCATCTCATTATTAAATCCTGATCACCATTCCTGTATTCCAGCTGTTGTCATTTTATGGCGTCTTTTGGTCAAATTAAGTGCTGTGGTAAGCGTGTACAATTCCAATGGAGAACTGCAGGTTGTTATTCCTGAGCAAAATTTGGCATTTTGCCTAGATGTGTCTCAACTCCCACTCAGCTTGCGGGGAGGAGGGTAAAGAAAGCATAGAAGAGAAGAGAAGCAGACTTGATAAGAGTCTTCGCAGTGCTTTTTGTTGCTGCTCTTGTCAGCTTGCTTATATGAAAAGATGTTAAGTATTAAGAATTTGCTTCTGTCACCTACGTTATTAACTCAAAAGGTGTTCTGTGTGTGTTCATACATGTGAATACATAACTTGGCCTAGTGCTTACAAAAGTTGAATACTTAATTGTTGATTTTTCTTGGAATTGGGCATTGTTTTAATTTGTGTTTATATTAGTGTAATGATTCCAAAACCTATCCAATGTGACTGTAGTGCATACAAAAATAAGCCACATCATAAGATAATGCATACAAAACTATGTCCATAGCCAAAAAGACCCACCCCCCTTATTAATCCACTTTCCACAATTCCTTTCCCCTAGAAACAAGAGTCTAATGCTCTCCTATTCTCTCCTTGAAGAAGTTAGGACTCTTGCTTGCCTTGCTTTCCACCTTTTCTGTATCGAGGTGAATGCAAGAAAAGGAGAATAAAGGCAGAAATCTGTAAGGACTGAAATTCATGTCATGGCTCTGACTAGTAACCCTTCACTTCAGTAGAGGCTGCTGTCTGGATTGAGTGTTTCTGATTTCTTCAGTCAGGTGCCCTGTAGGGCAAAAGTGTGCTTCAAGCTGCAGTATGGGGAGTGGTGGGAAAGGCTATACAGCTCATGGCAGGGGAAGGGGGAGTACGTGAGTCAGCAACTAGACAGAGCAGGTCACCATGATGAATGAGGCAGGCTGACAGTTCAATACACAATACAAAAACTTCACTCTTTGTCCCCATCTTCCTTCCTAACATGGTTTCTAAAGTCTAATGGAGAAGTTTGGTTTCTCTGAGCGCAGCCTTTGAGAATTATGTCTGGAGGTGTTAATGCTTGCAACATCTATTCCCTGGCAGATCTATTTCAGAAAGATCCTTATAAACGCTTTCAAATGGTTTCTCAGAATGTTTAAAGCTTAAAACCATGACCTGCTGATGTCTTTCTTAAAGGCTGAAATTCTTTCTTCATTTCCAGAAGACATAAAATGCATACCAATTGCACCAGATTTTAAAATATTAAGTTCTGAAGAAACTCAAGATTCATTTGGGCTTATGAATCAATCTGTTGCACTCTGTACTTCCCAGTACAATAAGACTTTCCTTCAACTGAGAAAAATATTAACAGTATCATTTCAGTGGGCCTCTACAGGGTGGTTTTTAGTCCTAATAATCACAGTCACTTCACTTTTCCAGTGTTTAATCTTTGGCTGCTGCACCCCACACACCCAGCTTTACCACCCTTTGCCTGTAGCATTTGTGTTTCAGACTAGATACATAAAACTTCCAGGCATTCCTCTCTGCTGCCTTATGGCTCAGGAAAATTTAGCTTGAATTTGTCACGTAGCCTTTTGTATAACCTACATTTAAATTCAACTGTGTCTTCAGTTTCTGCCTGCTCCAGTAAGGGAATCTCCTGTTACATAAAACATGCACTCTTTTAATGGTAACCAGAGTTCATAGACTCTCCAAATGCTGGTCTGTACCTTGGAATTAGGCAGATCAGAGTGTCAGCTGCTTGAGGAGCATTGATACATTATGCTGCTCACAGAAGCACCGTGCAGCAGGAGAGATGCACTGAGAAACCCTGTTACCTCTTACCTTCCTTTAAAACCACACAGCATTGCTAAGCAGTAACATTTATGCCCCAGTTCAATTTTGTTTGCCCTGCCCCACGCACTGAAGCTGGTGTCTCTCAGTTGGTTGTAACATTTCCTGTTAATATTAGTAGGAGTTTTCTAAAAGTTAATTCAGAGGAAGTTCATCACGTGGAAAAGAGAAGAAAGGTGACTGAATTAAAGCTGCTCCTCAGCCTCTGAGAAGACCCATCTTGCAGGCTGCAAAACTGTAATTGATGCACAAGCTAGCATTGGCACCAAAAGGTGCTTTAGATGGGGTTCACAAAAGGTAGTTTAAAGCCAACGAGGTGCTGTCCAGGCATCAATGAGTGCGTAACGTAGACTGGCTTGCTTAAGTTTTCATAGTCTGGCATGTTGGAAGACGTTAAGTTGCTACTGGTTCTTTGCAGACTACAAGTTGCTACTGGATCTTTGCAGACTACAGAGATTACAGCCTTACGTGCATAAGACACATAGGAAGCATATGTTGCTTCTCCTGTCTTCTGTTTCTATTAATATAAGCAATGAGAAAAGCTGTATGCTAAGGTTTTCCCACTGAATCCTGTGGTCCTTGATTGGGATGCCCAGTATTTAAGTAGGTTATTTTGTTTTAACTGAAATATACTCTGTCTGCCCCAAATCCTTTGTAAACTAAAACCCCTAACGGTTTGTAAATAAAACTGGGTTCTCTCAAGGACAATGTAATTTTAATCATAGGCAGGCTTGATTCTGATCCCACTGAGGGACCAGACTGGCCAGTCTGTTCAGAGCCAGGCAGAACTGGCTTCTACCCTTAAAAACACAGCCTTATTCACTTCTGCATTGGAAAGAGTCTGTTGCGGGCAAAATGATTTGAGTTACACTTGTTGAAGTTTATTGTGCTATTTGCCAAAACCTGTCTACTTCTATTCATATCAGGTGTCAGAGTAGAAGAATATATGCTGGGGAAAAAAAGTATTTATACCACACAGCAATAAAATAGAAAAATCAGAAAATAACTGGTTGTTGTTTTTTGGTGTGTTTTTTTTTTTTTAATTTTTCAGAATATTACAACACTTTCACACTACTCCTGAAGATTACACCGTCATTTTCACATCTGGATGCACAACTGCACTTAAACTTGTAGCAGAAGCATTCCCTTGGATACCTGGAGGCACAAAGCAGCCCAGCAGTCGATTTTGTTACTTAACTGACAGCCACACATCTGTGGTCGGTATTAGGGGGATAACTGGCTCAATGAATGTCTCGTCTGTTCCAATAAAACCAAAAGAAATCTTGTTATCGGAAAAGAATAGGTTGTCAGCTGAAGAACAAAACTGCACGACGCCTCATCTTTTCTCTTATCCAGCTCAGAGCAATTTTTCTGGTACCAAATATCCCCTTTCATGGATACAGGATATAAAATCTGGAAAACTTTGCCCCATCAAAATACCAGGGAAGTGGTTTGTTCTGCTAGATGCAGCTTCGTATGTGAGCAGTTCTCCGTTAGACTTGGAAGTTCACCAAGCTGACTTTATCCCCATCTCATTCTATAAAATCTTTGGATTCCCAACTGGTTTAGGAGCATTATTGGTAAACAACCGGATTGCCCCCCTCTTGCGGAAAACTTACTTCGGAGGTGGAACTGCAGCTGCCTACCTTGCAGGAGAGGATTTTTATTTTCCAAGGAAATCTATAGCTGAAAGGTAAGGTTTTGTTTAACAAAAGGGAGGGGTGGGTTTGCTAATACTGTTTGTGCTAGATAAGCGTCTTAGGGTTGGTGCATGCACTGGGCTGTGACAGCTGTATTTCCTTATTGGAATAGTTGCATAGATGTGCCACATCTAACTGTTTTTTTTTAGTATTAATTTTTCCTATCTAAAGAACATAATCTGAAATATCTACCTTCCTTCCCTGATCTAGTCAAAACTAGTAAAAATATAAGGCTTCAGTCAGTGACTTACAGGTCAGTACATGCATTTTTTAATTTATATTTAAGGTACCTCAGTGGAACTGTGATTTGGTTTTGGAGCAGCCAGGCCAAGGTTGATCACGCAGTATAATGACCCTCAGTGAAATTGGAAAGTAAGGTCCATGTATTTCACTGGAAAGATGGCATGCTTTACCCTCAAGAGAAGCTATCAGAAGGACGTGCATTAAGATAAATAACCTAAGACAAATATTTGTGGCTCTCTTATTAACCTGACTGAGGTTCTGGAGAAGCTGTGAAGCACTCCTACAGGAAATAGAGGACACCTAAAGGAGGTTAAGCATACACACATAAAGAAATGCAGGGCAATTTATATGTTTTCTCCTAGTCCCTTAACACATTGAAATGCCACTCTTAGTGGCACAAAGGAAATGCTTAAGATCAGCTGTTAATATTTAATTACAGTACTTGGGAGAGGCTAGAGGAATTGATAAAAAAAGCCATTCATGCCTTGCATTTGTTTATGGATGTATATTCAGCAGCACAATATTCTACATCTCCCAGGATGAAAATGTCTGACCTTTCACTGTACATGTAGAAATGCATAATGATGCTTCATGTGTGTGCACCTCTTCTAAGTGTGTGTTTTGAGTGTTGCCGTGGGGTTTTGATTCTGGACCGGTAAATGCAGAGGCGGGCCTCATTAGCATGGCTCTTTTGCCAAAAGAAGCCATACGTTATTTCTGAAATGGAAATTGGTACAGTTAATCTTTCAATTTAGAAATAAAAACATCAGGGAAACATTTGCATTATGACCTCTGTTTCCGGTTTTTCAAACTGAAAAGGCTTTGAAGTGCAGCATTCACAGAAAGCCAGGATGAAAGGACATAAAAATCATGAGATCCTAGAGTGCTCTTGCATCACTTTCAAACCAAGGAGAAAACCTGCTTTAATTTGACCTGGGCAGGCTCTAATTTCTCAGTGGCTTTTCTAGAGATAATTGACACATGACTCCTGAGATTGCATAGCAGATAAAACTATCTGAAACACAGCTTAAGTCTCAATTCTGCTTTTATAGGTTTTTTTTTAGTAAGAGGGGAAGTGTATGTGGGAACCTGGAAGGGAGCACTACCTCTGGTGTCTTTCTCAGGAGTTTTCAGAGGTTGATACCTTTCAGGTATCTGAGGTACGTGCTGCTTTCAAGGGCTTTTTTTACTGGATCAGAAGGGCCTGCTTCAACCATTTTATACCATTTTTATACCATTTTATAAACAAAGGGATTTGTCCAGTCTAATTTCTCATTCAAGCTCAGTACAGACTGTCTAATCTTGGTTTGAGGAAACCTAACTAAAATAGTCAAATCTGACAGCTGGATACCCAGGCATGGGACACGAGTTCTTGTTACACACCAAAGTGTCAGGCAGAGAGTTTGAGTCATTGTACGTACATATATATTTACAGTTGTCCTCATCTTTGTTTTTTATTTGTAAACCTAATATTTAAAAGTTCATGTTTAGAGTATTATTGATGCTCTCTGTAATCTCAGTGAACTGTGGATACTTAAATCCTACCTGGAGATACTTGAAGTTTACAAAGATAGATTAGGAATGAGGATAACCACTTACTTGAAAAAACAAAAGCAACAGCTTTGAAATTTTCCATCAATTTCCTCCAAACTATGTCATCCAAATTTGTTTTTCTTTTTCTCTACTGTTACGGGTTTTTTCCTTTTTATGCTTTAAAGTGTTTTCCTGAGAATAAAATACAGAGAGAGAGCAGTTAGGAACAGAACTACTACACCTGAAATGCCAGGCCACCGTGGCCAGAGCTAATATGATTACCTTATCTGTGGGCCATGTTTCCATTTCTTTGCCAGTGACTGAAACCTGGGTCATTATTTCTCATATAAGTAGCAACTCTACCTAAAGCCAGGTTTTATCCCTGACAAATTACAGTAAGGAGTCTCTATCCCTAGAGGTATCCAAACCCAACTGGAGAAGGTCCTGAGCAACCTGCTTCAGCTGGATATGCTTTGAGCAGGAGATTGGAGTTGAGATCCCTAGGGGTCCTTTACAGCCTCTGGGCTTCTGTTGTTGATTCTGTGTACCTCTGCCAAACCCCATCTGCATTCTCTCTTTAGGCATGACTTTGTGATTTCAAAAATTTGGTTTCTTAAAACTTTTTTTTTAAAAAAAGCTTGTTTTCAGTGCTGGATTAGCACTGGGATTCAATACACTGGAACATGTCATTTAATGTGGTTATTCGTAAGGAAATGTGAACTCTAACAAATACTATAGAAAAGTGAATTACAATATGTGTATCCAAATACCCTCAGCAGAAGGTATTCCGCATCTATGCATAATCAAAGTGCAGTGCACTAAAGGAATTAGATTTTTCTAAGTCAAGTTGAAACTTGAGTGGTGATGTGTAATGAAAGGGTGTTTCATCTTTCCTTCCCAGGACTGTCAAAATGGTTACCTTTTGTCTTAATAGATAAAGCTTTTCTTAGTGTTTCCTCTATTTTATTTTGTTGTTCTTGCTATATAAATTATTCTACCATGGTTTCTTTTACAATCCTTTAATAACCTTAAATCACTTCCACATTTTCCTACTTCATAGCAGTAGCCAGTCTTCCTATATCAACTTTTAAAATCATGTTTATTGTATTTTCATCCTTGTATCAAACAGCTTGACAAATTATTATTATCATTCACAAATCTAGCCTCATTTCCTATCTTTTTTTTCTGCACAGCATGAGATAATAAAATAATATGATTATGTATAGCAAGAATTCAGCGATAAAATATTCATCATCTGCCCTATTTTTCTTTTGTATCTGCAAGTGCTATTCAGAATCTGATCATCCTGGAATTTACGACTAAGGGAAAAGAGGCTGTTGTGTTATCTGTAAATTGGATATCTGCATCTTAGTCTACTGGTGTGAAATATCTAGTGCATTAACTGTTGTGTGTTTTTCATTTCCAAATGCATTTTCAAAAGCTTTGGAAATCCAGATGGCATGACTTTGTCCCTGATGAATTTTAGTAGCTGCTGCTTGAATGATTTGACAGCCCCAAAGCAGCACCCACACTTTTATAGTCTGTGATGGATTTTACTTAAACAAAGCAGGTTTCTTTATTCTTGATGCTGTAGCTTTTTATCTTTGAAGTGATTCCATGGCTGATACTTTTGACCTGCAGATGAAAGATTAGATCCCTGAAGCTCTGCAGGAAATGTCCTTAATTAGGGCCCACACATGTACTATAGTGCAGAACTATGCTAGATTTCCCCAGCAAATTCTGCACATGCCTTTGCAGGTATATGTATAGAAGCATGGTTTGGATCCTCAATTACTTGCTGATTTTGTGCATGCTGATGGGAAGGGAAGGAAGGAGTGGAAAATGAACGAAGAAAGATAGGGATGAGAGCTTTCGCTAGGAACCCAAGATTTGGAGCTGGCAACAAAATCCTGAGGCAGTGTAGTGGATGTGGAGCATGGGAAATCCCTTAGCAAAAAGCTGTTCTTCAGCTTGAAGTTGTCTCTTCAGCATTACTGCATCTTTCTCTCAACACAGAGAAAAAGAATACAGTGACAGGTGCTGGTTTGTTCCATAGAAACTATTCATAGTGCTGAGAAACTACTTAAGGACTGGACCGTGTTTAGAAGAGCACAATACTTTTGCACATGCTTACCTTGTAGTCCAGTGTATGCGCATTCACTACACATTCAAGGGTTCTGTCCATCTGCCCATGATTACTTTAAAGTGGTAAGTGGGTAAAAATATCTCCCTGTTGACTAGTACCTTTTGTTCAGGCATTTTGTTATGCTGCTTCCAAGTGTTATATTATGTCGCTAAACATGATGTTTTGATATCTCCAAGCAGTACTACTTCCTGGGAAATATCTAAATCTATAAAATTCCTGTAAAACCTGTTTTGAGACAGCCTTTATTCTCGAAATTTTGTTTGAGCAGCTGGTGTTGCATATTTTTAGCTACACAGCTGGAGAAGATTGGTGGTTAAGGTCTTCCAGGTTATACAAAACCCCAGTTCAGTGTTATCCGCAGAGGTTCAGACAGACACCTCCTGGAGTACAAAATCAGCTGTAATTACCAGGTTCTTCCAGCACAGATTTTGGGGAAAAAAAAGAGAATAAGCTTCCATTCAACACCTGAACTGCTTGCTCCCATGTTTTACAGAGTCCAGAGACATAGAAGAAGGTGTCAACTGATTAAGCTCTTCAGTATGTCCCAGGGAGAGGTTATTTGAGGTGTGCTTTTATCCTTAGTTGCACAGTTGGGAAACCCGAATCTGAAGTGGGTCATATGTAGGGCTTAGAGTTGCAAATCTTAGGAATGAGCCCAAAAGAGGGGCATCATATTGGTTAATGCCTAAATGTTTGGGTCTATCACAGCATGCAGTTCCAGTGCACAGATTCCCAAACTACTTTTAATCGAACCAGTTCAGGACCCCAATGCAATGTAGCCACAGTGCCACAGACATCCATGCTGGGCAATTTACATTGCCTCTGAGGAAGATAATACATTTAGGCACACTGGAATGTCTTTGTGCTAAGCTTCCCCTGTATGAAAATACATACAGGGGAAAGTGGGGTTTTTAGGCAGAGGAGGTAGTTGACCTTGCACACTTTTTAGCAATATTTACCAAAATGAAATTAATAAAATCCATAAATGTAAATAATTTTAAATGCTACTGAGGATTCTTATATTTGGAAACAGGCTGAACTAAACTAAACATTTTTCTTCTTTCATTGTTA